TACTGGCCAGAGACAGTGCAGGTATACGTCTATCACCTACACACCGTGCAAGTACCACTTGCATTCACCCCGGTACACCGTCTTGTATGGCGCTACATACTCAGGCTTCCCGTCAAGATGAAACAACACATGCATATTAAAAGCCATTACATGTAAAGTTCAATCAACATATCAAATATCGAAAAGCATGTACACAACATGCATAAACCATACCCCCATGGGACATGGTGGAACCACAACATGGCTAAACCGAGGACACGATAGCTTACCTCTAAGCTAGCTATCCAATGCCACACGCTCAAAGTCCAATTACAGCAGATCACAATCTGATATGGACCAAATATAAATCAATAACATGTGCCACATGCATACAAATTAAAGACAACGCCTTTTCATTACGCTTTATGTCTTAAGGCTTCTCACCAAGCCATAACCCCTTAATCACTTGATTCTGACTTAGTTTAATTAAAACAGAAGTTCAACTTCATCAATCTAGGGTCCACAACCCCCAATAGCCTACTGTCCTCACAGCACAGCTACTGTTCTTCGAAATCCCAGAATATCCGGATATTCCTCGGGACCATATCCGGATATTCAATATCCGGATATCTCACTGTGGATATCCGGATATCCAAAGTCCGGATATCCAGAATCCCATATTCGGATACCAAATATCCGGATATCCAAAACCCCATATCCGGATATCACATATCCGGATATTCATCGGGAAGATATCCGGATATTTCACGATAGAATGCAGTTCTGCATTTTCGTGAAGATATCCATCCAAGGTTGGGTTTTTAACGATTTAAAGCACCTAAACATGCATTTCTAGGTGTGTTCAACATTACCCAACAACAAGTTATCATCTTTAAGCCTTAACATGCATCAAGCTTTCATTTTTAAGCATTAAACTCATGATCAAAGGTTGGTATACATACCAAAGGCCAAAACAGAGGGTCAACAGCTCATGAAGCTCCCAAAACAGCTTCAACAGCTACTGGGAATATGGTGTACGAAAATGCTACACCAAGACTTGACCTTTCTACCCAAAGGTTGCTTCTTTAAGCAACATAATGCCCAACTCAAGCTTCCACAACCAAGCCAACCAAGTCAGCCCCAAAACTCTCACCAACAGTGGCTGAGCACTCAGAGAAAAACACCATTCTCCCTCACCAAGCTCACTCTCAAGTGTTTACAAAGAAAGAATGAAGGAAAAACAAGAAAGGAAGTGCCTTGGACCCAAAATGGAGAAGAAACCCCACAAGTCAGCCAAGCTGATCAGCCACCCTCAACTCTCACGTTCAAAATCTGTTTTCTAGGGCATTGTGCCCTTAGAAATGGGTATTTATAGCCACAAGTCACTTAAACACACAATATTAACTTTAATTGCTACGCTTAGCATTTTAATCTCAAACTTTGGATTATGAAACTACATAATTTTCTAAGATTTATCTTATTTTTCTTATAATTTTCTGAGCACCTTTCCGGTATGCGCTTTTCCAAGCCAGTACCGATTTCTAGCACCAGTTCTCATTATCTGGACTTGAAACTCGTTTTACAAGTCCTACATATTATTCTAGTAATTAACATGCACTTACTTTAATTTTTTGGGATACTTTTTCGGTACTCATTTATACCGACTAGCAGAACCAGTATCTGCACTTTTCTTCCGAAAAGCGACTTTCAGCAATATTACCCACTTACTATAATTATTAAAGCCTCATAATAATTATTAGGGTCAATTATGGAATCATTTCTTATTTTCTCATAATTTATTAATTAAATTCTTTAATTAACGGTGCGGGTTCTTACAGCCCCAGGTGTAGTAGGGCGTTCAAGCGCTAATTTGGGCGCTCAAGCGCGTAATGTGCGTGAAATCAAGTGAAATTCCTTCCCTCTGGGTGATCAAGCACCCAGTAGGATGCTCAAGCGTGCTAGTGTGCACTCCAGCGCATTGAAAAACCTGACGATGGCAAAATTCTCAGCGCTCGAGCGCCCAGTTGAGCGCTCGAGCACGCATCCCGAAAGCAGCATGAACATAGTTTAGTAAAATTGGCATAACTCGAGCTACAGATCTTCGATTTGAGCGCGGTTTGAACCCACACGAAGCTAACAGAGAGATCTATAATATAGTAGGAGATTATAACTATAAAGGAAGTATAGAATTCCCAATTTAATAAAAGTGAAGATAGTTTAGTATTGAACTTAAACAAAATAAGAATATGATGTTAAGCTTAGTTTTAATTATTCCGCAATGTCATATGGTTATGGTCACGCAATTGGTTATTTTAAATTCGGTGTTGTTCAAAAGAAAAAATAAGTAAGTTTAAAAATAAAAAATCTATCCGGGTGTTTAATTGAACCAATGTGATTGTAACTGTGCTTAGTATCATAAGGCAATGATAACAAACCGGTTCTAGAACGGGGCGTAACATTGGACGCCTAACGTCAAACTTTAGTATAGCCATATTGAGTTGTTAAACAGGAAAGCTTTTAAATATTATATTGATTTAGCAAAATAAGTTTGCGAGATTCTTATGTGCTTCTAAAAATATATATTTATGTAACCATTTAATATATATCACATAAGTTAAAACATTAAAATTGTTATTAAATTGGTAAACAATGATGATCCACATGGGGAAAATGCTACCATTGAGTGGGACACAAAAAATCTTTTATTCTTTGAGCACTTAAGCAGGACAGAGCTACATGGGGCTAGGGGAGGCCCCTGCCCCCTCTAAAATTTTAAAACCAAACTAGTTAATATTGTTATAAGATAGATAACTGTATCAGTGCACTACAACCATAAGTGATGCAATACACTTTCGATTTTCTAGCTAAGTCAAAGTAACTAAAACCTGGAACCAAAAGTGAATTATCACAATGTTTATCGTAACAACACAAATGACCATAAGCACAACAAATATAAGTGATATCATTTTTTTATTATATTTTAATGCAATATTGCAATGTGCAACAATAACATATATGTAAATAACTAATTGTTTTATATTAAACAACAACATATTTGAGGTTCTATTCTACTTTGACATTTTCTTACTATAATCCAACTTTATTCAAATCCAGTGGCATAGCCACATTGGAACAAGAAAGTGCCTTGGCAGTGGCTGGTTTCCAAAATAAGAAGCTTTTTTTGACCTTCAGTGACTGTAAATAGTTTGCTTCCTCCATAGCTACTAGTTTTGGCACTAACTTCCTCCATGGTTGGCTGATTTTTGGCACTAGCTTTCCAATTTTTCTGGCTCCGCCACAATTCAAATCAATGTTTTGCTCTTTGTTTTTAAAATAAAATCTAGTCCATACTAACAAAATAATCATAGACTTAGATTAACAATCTTTTTACCATCAATTCAACTACACTGACAACCCTCATAAGTGATCCTTTCCATTTTTGAGTAAAAGTCAGAGAGAAAAAAAATTAATATTCTTTGTTTACAAATAATATTCTTTGTTTTACTAACATAAGTGATACAATATAAATAACCAGATTTTTTCAAGTTATATTCTTTATTTTACTAACATAGCACATTATAGTTCCCCCCTCCTCTCCAAAAATATCAATTAGTTAAGAGACTTGATTCATTCATCAAAAAAGGTACAAGCAGAAATAATCTAATATCAATATCTGTACATAGTATATAACGAGATAATTAGAAAAATGAGCATAAAACATGACTAAAAAAATTTATACCGTTACTTCTTGAGAGTGAAAGATAAAAACTCAAGTAGTAATTAACATTGTCTGAGTGGGCATAAATTAGACAATTGCAAAATAAGCTTAGGAGAAACTTCAAAAATTAGCATAGGATTCAAAAATTGATGACGACTCAATTAATCCAATAAGTTTAGCTAACAGATCTATTCTCTCCTTTGGATTAAGAAACTCTTTCATCGAGGAGTTTCATTTTCAACCATTGGCTAATAATTTTTGACAATTTGCATCGAGTTTATCGAATCAAGTAGTGCAGTATACTAGAGACAAAAGAAGGAGGGAAGAATTGGAACTGATCTTCGATTGTGATTTTCAAGTGATTATTATAATAGTATTTTTGATATTAGGTCTGTATTATATTTCAAGTACTTTTATTTATAATATAATTTTTTTTATTTTTCATTTATTATAATAAATTTTTTTATAATAGGTCTATATTGTATTTCAAATACTTTTATTTATAATATAATATTTTTTATTTTCATCCCCTATACAAATTCTTGTCTCCGCACCTGCACGTAGGTGGAGCAAAAGCCTCTAAAAGTAATAAGAATTTATCCGCATTTCATATTTTGGCATCTCGCATTTTCCAAGTATCAAAAGAGGGTTCCAACTTCCAACTTTATACTTTTTTTTTTTTTTTTTGAATAGAACTTTATACTTTTAAATGTGCAAAACTTTGAACGAAACTAGATTTTTAACTTATATATTTTGTATGGTTGGCGACAATCATTATTCTGCAATAATTTTTTTGTATGACGTATTAAATTACGAGACATATACAAGCACCTATGACTGATTACAAATATATCCAAATTGGGTTTTGGAAAGTGCGCGTGCTGATAGCAAGACCTAGCAGAGAGGAAGTAACGTCGAAGTTTCAAACAGCCAACTGTACATATAGCTGTCAACATATGTGCTAGTATTAAAAATCTAAAATCCGAAGTCAAGATCGACATGCTAATTAATAGACCACAAGTAAAATTTTATACATGTGTATATATAATGGATTTGATGTTTGTTATTTTAAATGACATAAGTTATATCATTTTAAAAGAGAGATAAACACAAGAAATGAAAATCAAAAAAAGAAATGGTTTTTTTTTTTTAATTTAAATTTTAATTAAAAAAATTTATTTTGTGTCTATCTATCTCTTAACGTAACATAATTTTATTTCGTTTAAAATTTAAATGATAAACACTGTATAATTCTTTTCGTGAACCATAAACCTGAACTGAGCAATAGGGATTCCATCATTCAATGGCGAAAGCAACTCATATAGCAGCAATTTCAATCCCTGCGTATAGCCACCAAGCCTCCATTGTTGAGTTTTGCAAGAGACTCGTTCATCTTCATCCACACTTCAATGTTAAGTGCATCTTCCCCACCATTGATGCACCTGTCCCCGCCACAATTGCTTTCCTTGAATCTCTTCCTCCCAACATAGACTACACTTTCCTCCATCCAGTGAACAAAAAAGACCTTCCACAAGATGTTGCCCCTGCAGTACAAATCCAACTTGCGGTATCTCAATCCATGCAATATTTTCGCGAGGCGTTAAGGTCACTGTGTTCATCCACGCCAGTGGTTGCTTTGGTTTCTGATCCTTTTGCGAATGAATCACTAGAATTAGCTAAGGAGTTCAACCTCTTATCCTACATATACTTCCCTCCTTCTGCCATGACACTCTCACTGTTCCTGCATTTGCCAACATTGCATGAGGAAGTTTCATGTGAATACAGAGATCACACAGAGGCTATTCAGATTCCAGGTTGCATACCTATTCATGGCAATGATCTCCCTGAGCATTTTCAAGATCGATCTAGCCTTGCTTATGAGTTAATTCTTCAACGTTGCAAGAGGTTTTCTCTTGCTGATGGTTTCTTGGTTAATAGCTTCTCAGAAATTGAGGGAGGTACAGTGAAAGCCTTGAAGGAACATACCATAGGCAATAAGAATTCCCCTATTTATCTGGTTGGACCAGTTATACAAACTGGGTCAAGTAGTGAATCAAATGGGTCAGAATGTGTGAGGTGGTTGGATAATCAGAGGCCTAATTCGGTTATGTATGTGTCCTTTGGAAGTGGAGGCACTCTGTCTCAAGAACAGCTTAATGAGCTAGCTTTGGGGTTGGAGTTGAGTGGTCAGAAATTCTTGTGGGTTTTAAGAGCACCAAGTGATTCAGCAAATGCAGCTTACCTTGGTGCTACAAATGATGACCCTTTAAAGTTTTTACCACAAGGTTTCTTGGAGAGAACCAAAGGACAAGGGCTAGTTGTTCCTTCTTGGGCACCCCAAACGCAAATCCTTAGTCATACTTCAACTGGTGGGTTTCTAACCCATTGTGGCTGGAATTCAACACTCGAGAGCATTGTTTTGGGAGTGCCAATGATAACTTGGCCATTGTTTGCCGAGCAGAAAATGAATGCTGTTTTGTTAACCGAGGGGCTGAAAGTGGCATTAAGGCCAAAGTTTAATGAAAACGGCATAGCGGAAAAAGTGGAAATCGCAAAGGTGATAAAAGGTCTAATGCTGGGTGAAAATGGAAATGGGATTCGCCAAAGAATTGAAGAGGTCAAAGATGCTGCTGCTGATGCATTAAAAGATGATGGATCCTCTACAAGGGCACTTTTCCAGTTTGGCACTCAAATGGAAAACTTTCTGAGGCAGCCATTAAAGTAAATTGATTGGCTTTCTAAAAGAATAGGAAAAGAAGGGAAGGAAGCATGGGGAAAAAAATATTGGTTCGATGGACAGAGTTGCATATTTCATTTCAGTGTTTATTTCTTACCGAGTTTATTTGATTTCTGCTTTCGGGGTCAAAGCTGAATAAGTATCCCCCTTTTATATAGAAAATTACGAAGAATTGTTTAGAATATGCTTTCTTTTTAACACGTGACTAAGTTTTTTTAATATTCATTTTGATTGTAGTATACATTGGTGTATTAACTGAGAAAATAAGATTAAATATAAAAATCAGAAACAGGCAACTATGAAAACATTTCCTTCAAAAGTTTATGCTCGATCTTAAATGTCAGTAATATCTTTTTATAACGAATTTAAAAGTATCGCTTCAAGATTTCACTTAAATTAGGATAACCTTTTCTCCTCTCAATCTTTTATTAAATAGAACGGAACAGGAGAAACAAATACAACAGAACCAGAACCTCTACAAGGTTGGTGGACATTTACTCAAGCAAAGTAACTATAATAATGTAAAGAACGGAACCTAACAGGAGAAACGTGAATAAGGCAGAGGAGAAAACGGAAACAGAATCTCAGAAATTGAAAATACGTTTATGACTTCTTGTTATGATAAATGGCTCTCAAGTTCATAGCCACCTCCGAGAGAGTTTTTGTAGATGATCCATTTTCTTTTATCGCATTAGCAGCAGCAATCTTCAAATGTTCCATTCTTTCGCGAATTTCTCTGCCTTCTTCACCTTTCATCAAGCCTCTTACGACCTTAGCAATTTCTTCTCTTTGAGTCAATCCATTGTCGTTGACTTTTGGCCTCAGTGCCACTTTTAGACCATCAGTTAGCATCACTGCATTCAGACTCTGTTCAGCAAAGAGTGGCCATGGGATTATAGGCACACCTTGCATAACACTTTCAAGGACTGAGTTCCAACCACAGTGAGATAGGAATCCACCAGTTGAACTATGACCAAGTATTTGAATCTGGGGTGCCCAAGAAGGAACAACCAATCCTTGCTTCTTAGTTCTCTCTAAGAAACCTTGTGGTAAGAATTGTAAAGGGTCCTCAGTTGCAGCACCATGGTAAGCAGCACTGGCTACACCGCTTGGGGCTCTAATAACCCACAGAAATTTTTGACCACTAAGTCCCAAACCAAAGGCTAATTCATTGAGTTGGTCTTGAGAAAGTGTGCCACCACTTCCAAATGACACATACAGAACAGATTTGGGTTCTTGATTATCCAACCATGTTAAACACTCTGAGCCATTTTCCTGACCAATTGACCCGCTCTGAATAATGGGCCCAACAGGATAAACCATGGGCTTCCCTCTGATCTGTTCTTCCACAGCTCCGAAAGTCTCTGATTCCAATTCAAGGAAGCTATTCACAAAGATACCATCCGGAAGATGTAATCGTTTGGCACGTTCAAGTATTCGCTTGTAACTGATGCTGGATCGAAATTTGAACGGGAGAGGAAGATCTCTGCTAAGAATAGGTACACAACCAGGAACCTGTATAGGTTCTTGTGGGTCTCTAGATTCAGAAGAAAGTATCTCATCTAGCTTTGAGCAATATAAATACGTAGAAAGTAACATAGCAGTTTGTGGGAGATACATGTAAGACAAGAGATTGAGTTCCCTAGCAAAATCCAGTGCTTGATGTGCAAACATATCCACAACCAAAGCTACAACACGAATTCTTGAACATAAGGACTTCAATTCTTCTTTTATGTAAGGTAAGGAGTGAGTCACCGAGAGTTCAATTTGGAATCCAAGAAGAGTAGCATCTGGCACATGTTCAAGGTTGATGGAGGGAAGAAAAATGGGATGTACGGTTGATGGAAGGGTTTGAAGGTAATCTTTGGAGGAAGTGGGGATTGACCCAACTGAGGGAATGATGCATGTGACATGAAAGTCAGGGTGGAGATGAATAAGGCGTTTGGAGAATTCAAGGATTGGGACCAGGTGGCTGAACCCAGGACTGGGAACTACTGCTATGTGAGGCTTTTCCATTGAATTAATTGGAAATTAAGATGTGAACACATTGGTTTTACTATTTCATCTCTTTTCTATTGCGAAAAGTTTTGCAGAATGCTTATTGATATGGATCAGCATTTCTCTCTCAGGGTTTACTTTTTCGGGGTTGTCAGTATTTGACTGAGAAAATGACAGGAATTCCTCTTCATTTGTTTGTTTTCTTTTCCGTAGTGTTCATCTTTCTATGCGGAACCTCCGGCAAATGGTCAAAGTGTCTTAGTTTAATATATATTTTTTATTCCGATTGTAATTATCCTTTTAAGGGGAGTCTGCTATGCTATTTTCACAAATTTTAAGTCTCTCAATCGATTACAAAACTAATGGTAAGTCGCGACTTAGTTATAATTAAAAGTTCCTCACCCCTCTGATAAAAATTGAACACAAATTTTCTCCCTATTCTACTACTCAACCTGTGTTGCTAATTAATATTTTAACTAAACAGTGGTAGCTTAATTGGTGTATAGAAGCTGAACAGATAGAGATGAGAGTATGAGTTTGATCCTTCCAGTATCATTTTTGAGAGAGGTTTAAAGCTTTAACCCTGAACCTCTAAATCGAACTAATCACAAAGTGATCAACCGATTAAATATTTGTTAATTAATATTCTCTTCTTCTTTTTTTGGTGGAATGCTAATTAATATTCTATTTCTACTTCTTATATGCTAAGGAGTAAGCGATGATATAATAAAAATTGTACTAATTTATTGTCGAAATAATATAACTATAAGACAAAAAGTAAAAATATTATAATTCTCTAAATTTTATTATCCATTAAATTAAAGGGATAAGATACTGTAACAATCAATTAGTGTTACTACCAATGTTACTACCAATCAATTTCACCGTTAGATCGATTATGTTGATCCAACGGTTATATTTATTTTCATCTTTGTATGGTTATGATTCCTCATATTTAATGTGAAAGCATTAAATATGAGGAATCATAACTATACAAAGATGGAAATAAATATAAAGTATTAAATATGAGGAATCATAACCATACAAAGATAAAAATAAATATAACCGTTGGATCCACATAATCGATCTAACGGTGAAATTGATTGGTAGTAACACTAGTTGGTTGTTACAATATCCTTTCCTTAAAAAAATATAGTAAAATAGTTATATATATATATATTTGTATTTTTTATATAATTAAAATATAATAAGATAGCAAAACCAATTTAGGATATAAATTTCAAATTGTGTTCTCATTAATTTAAGCCAAAAAAATTCAATAAATATAAATTAATTTATGAAAGATTGATGAATTAAATAGTCTAAACGATGGATGTAACATGTTGATATTAGAAATGAAATAAAAACGTAAATCATGTACAAGAAGCAATGAATAAAAAATAACCACGATATTGTTTGTTTGGAATTGCGATGTATGGGTGTGGGAGGGTTTGTTTGGAGCTTATTATATATTGTTTGTTATTGATATATTTGGCGTAGGAGAAACGAAGTGACCCATGATAGCTCTCGCAATGGGAATCGCCACCTTGCTCGGCCAATCTTTGACTGCTAGAAGGAGATACAACTTGCCTTTACAAACACAAAGCCAAGGCTACTAGGGGTGTTCGCGGTCTGAATTGGATCGGTTTTGGAAGCAAAAATCATCTGATCCAATCCTTTCGGTTTGATCATATAATCATTCATTCGGTTTGGATATTTTTCAAATCCGATCCGATCCAATCCAATTTTTTTCTGTTTGGATTGGATCGGTTTTCGGTTTTCGGTTTTCGGTTTGTTGAAAATCCCAAAATTTATTTCTTGGTTATTGTGCAAATTACATCTTTGTATATATTGACTTTGTAATTTTTTTTTTTTTGAAATACAAAAGCATTAGTAAACTATAATATTTTTTTTTTTTGGGCAATGAGATATGAAGGTTTACAAAGATACAATTTTATTGATGAGATGTGACTAGATTTTTTCTTGGGTTTAGTTGATGGATTAATGGGTCTTGGGTTTAGAAATTTTTGGGCTATGATTAGGGAAAAACCCAAGTAGGTAGAGGGAAATTAATATATTGGATCGGTTTGGATTGGATCAATTTTCATCAACCCATCCAAAAACCGATCCAATCCAATTAAAATTTGCAGTTTTTTTTTGGTTTTCGGTTTATTCGGTTATCGGTTTTTCGGTTCGGTTACCGCGGTTTGAATCGGTTGATGAACACCCCTAAAAGCTATGACTCAATTTCTCTATAGATGTTAGCTGGCAGCCTCCTTTGACTCTGTTTGTTAAGTTAAACACAGATGAGGCCTCAAATGATCAAACGACTAAAGCAACTTGTGGAGGACTTCTTCCTGACCACAGAGGAGTTTGGCTAAGGGGTTTTGCTGCAAGAAATGGACATTTTGCTGCTTTACAAGCGGAAGTGTGGGTTGTGTTTAAAGGGCTGGAGTTAGTTTGATAGGCAGTTGGAGAAATGTTTTGGTTGAAAGTGACTGTCAAACAGTCATTGCATTATTTTCTAAGGAAGGCAATGAAGCTCGTGAGTCACACCTAGTGACTCGAACATGAGCTTTTGTTCATCGACAATGGAATATTCAGTTTATAAACGTTCTTAAGGAGGGAAACCAGTGTGCAGATTGGTTGGCAAACTATCTGTTGGTGCACCTGGAGTTACTTGTTGAGGCTCACTTCTCTGACCCCCCCCACCAGGACTATGGTGTCATCTTCAGACTGACAATAAGGTGTAATTTTTGCTAGACATGTGCAGACTCGCTAGGAGTTTCCCTATTTAATCTTTTTTCTATGTTTTCTTTTTCTTTGTTTTCTGTCTTTACTTTGATGTATAAAAAGATATAACAATAATAATAGAGCTAATAATTTCTAGTGTCAAGAGATAAAATTATCTTGTATAATAGGAAACAACATCATTTTGCTTCATTACAAAAAAGTTAAGATTAGGAAAGTAACCTACAAGCTCTCTCTCTTTTTCTTTCCTTTTCTGCAAAAACGATACAAAGTGTTCAGCGGTAGAGGGAGCCAGGAGCAACGCAGTGCTTAATGATTGAAATAATGTCGAATGAGGTAGTGCCCATGCAGAGGAGCATGTCAGAGATAAATATTAGAGGTGTGACAAGAACACCCTTTGTCGCCAAAAAAGGACTGGTAGAAACATCCAATTTAGCCACTATGCAATGGTTTGATCACTTGCTTGGACCAGAAATAATTAGCCCATCTTAGACTTCCCATGGTAGAGCCTTTGCGATCGTGGTGTGTAACACCCTAATTTACAATCAATTTGTTAACTCACATATGGTCATAAAAGCGCATCGTACTAGATTAAAGTAGTGGAAAACTCAAGGAAAACATCACAGTAGTTCTTTGTAACTATGTGACTTAACTTTTTCCTTTATGTAAATCTTGCCATGTTAACCTATTTTTATGATATAGACTATATAGTCCTATAACTATACAGACTCAAAACTTGATAACTCGTGATCATAACTAATGATTAACTAACTATTCGAACATGATATCATGTACCATCTCAGATAGAATCAAATGGACAACATAATGAATTTAATCTCAACAACTAGGGATAAAATCCCACAATTAAACTTGATACCATATTCCAAAGGTCTTAGAATATAGAGAAAATGATATTCCAAGCTTGAATGATGTTTGGTGGGAAACACTAAGAACACAAACTTTAACTAAACTATCCAAAGAAGAAATCTCCCTAAACAATGATTTTTGGTGGGAAATGATTTATGGGTTATGCTTTTATGATGATTCTATACATTTTTCATGAAGACACTTGATGATTTCCATGGCTACAACTCTAAATGTAGTTGAAGCTTTCTTAACAATGGCCTTTTTTCTCCAAAACTTGGCTAAGTGTAACACCCCGTCGGCCCCCAGTGTATTATCATACAAATGGTATTTAAAAAGTAGCATGCAGTGGTTAATCGCGGAAGCAATATACTATTTTATTATACAATATACTCAATGCTAATCCTCATGGTGGATTAACTTTTCAATTTGATAACAATCCTTATGTAATTGCAACACTAAAATAATCTAAAATATCTCGTACTCATAAATAAATTCAAAAGCATTCATAACTCATGGTGCTATAATACAAAAACCTAAGTCAACAAATACACAGATTATTTAATAGTGGCCTAGACAACCCTTGTGCTCACCATGAATATCAACATAATCCATCAAATCTAGTCATAATAAAGTCTCATCATGGCAATATAAATAATCATAATATGCATAGCTCATAACAATAATGAAATCTTTATGCCGGCCTCTTGCCTCTATCAGTGTTCGTCTCACGAACGTCATCTCCTGAAAAATGTGCCCAGAAGGGGTGAGATTTCTAAAAAAAATCTCAGTAAGACAAGGGGTCATCAAGGAATCCTCTGTAACAGCCCATTACGTACCAGTAAAGTTATCATTGCATATGGTATTAAGCACAGTTACAATCACAATCATTGAGTTAATTAAATTACGGGTAATTTTTTTCTTTTATTACATCATTAACTTTAAACAATAAACAATTCTGTAATCAATTAAAAACAACACCGTAATTGTAAGTGCATAACTTGCGGAAGCATAAAACTTATTTATTATAACCCCTCCAAGTAATACCATTAACTCTAGGTTATAAAACACTTATTTTCAAAATTTACACTGTGGTAATCGATTACCCTTCTTGAGGTAATCGATTACCAAAATTCCAGAATGAGGCAATAGCTCAATTTGGGCTCCCCTGTTTGGGGTAATCGATTAACTTGATATAGGTAATCGATTACTGAACTAGGTAACCGATTACCAAAAAAAAAAAATCGATTACCTTGATCACAGTGGCTCAATTTTTACGTCCCCTGTTTCAGGTAATCGATTACCAAAGAAAAGTAATCGATTACCCTACTGTAAAAATGACAGATGACAACTTTTAAAACACAAAATGGGTTATGTATTCTACCCTTGACACTTTACTACTAAATATACTACTTACACAAGGACTAATGTAGGCTCTAGGCCCTTCCATCATGCATATTCATTATCCAATGCGTCTATTACAATGGTTCCCAATACCATAGCCATTTTAAACATCAAATGGTCTATTTACAACACAAGTCTCCAAATGCCTTTTAGAACCAAATATGTGGCCATGGACAAGTCTCGTGCTCACTCAAAATATCAATACAAATCATAGGCATTAATGTACAACAACTACATAGACTTAGAATCTAGTCATGAACACCCAAAAGCATGGCCATAATAACATGCAATATGTTCATGATCTAAGTCAAAACACTAAATGTAATGCTATGTGCATCTAATAATACTCCTCCAAAATGTCATGCCCACCATATGCACATCATGCTCAAACTCCTCTAAGCGGGCCTCTTACCCGATGGTCCTCCATGCTCACCAAACCTGAAATGATATCCCCAAACGCGGGGTGAGATATACAAATATATCTCACTAAACCAAGGGAACTAGAGGATCACTTCACCCCATGGCTCACTCAATGTGCAATAATAAACATCATGTAAAATGTATAACATACAAAATCACATCACACTGGGCACAAAATCAAGAACATCCACATAAAGATTCCGTTCAAGGACCCCATCATATAACTCCCGGGAAGCATCCCGGTGCCTCTCCCATGGATGAGACGACCCCATGGAAAAACCCAATTAGAACTCCTCATGAGCCCTATCCAGCGGAAGTCCCACGTTTGGATTATCCTAGTACCGCTCCCAGAGTCAGCCCCACGGAAAAACCCGACCAGAATCTCCAAAGGATATCTCCAGCGGAAGTCCTAACCACACACATCTACTGGCCTGAGATCACAGACATGTCACACAAATCAAGTAACAATGCATGATCATATAATTTCACACAATGTCAAAAGCACACAATATCCAACCACAGATAAGGAATGATAGTGCTAAATATTTGAAGGGCCAAAGTGGCATGTCTTTTAATGAGCAAGGGCTACTGTTGTATCAGGTCAGGATTGTTGTGCCCAAGGAGTTAGTAGATGAGGTTATGGTTGAGGCCTATAAGGGTCAATATGCTATCCACCCAGGTGCCACAAAAATGTATCAAGATTTGAAAGAGAAGTTCTGGTGGCCTAGGATGAAAAGGGATGTTGAGGGGTATGTATCAAGGTGCTTGGTTTGTCAGAAAGAGAAGATAGAGTATCAGAAACCTACTGGTTTACTTTAGCCACTGGATATACCAGAGTGGAAATGGGAGAGCATCTCTATGGATTTTATTGTTGGGTTGCCTCGGACTCAGGCTGGCTACGATTCAATTTGGGTGATTGTGGGTAGACTTACAAAGTCTGAACATTTTCTGCCAGTGCGAGTGGATTTCACTACGAAGAGATTAGAAAAGCTATATCTTAATGAGATTGTAAGGCTCCACGAGATTTCAGTTAGTATTGTAAGTGATCGAGACCCAAAGTTTACTTCACATTTTTGGGGAGCTTTACAGCAGGCTTTTGGCACTCAGCTCAGGCTGAGCACTGCGTATCACTCGCAGACTGATGGTCAGACTGAGAGAACCATACAAACACTTGAGGATATGCTGAGAGCTTGCACATTGGAGCATGGTACTACATGGGATAAGTATTTGCTATTGGTGGAATTTTCATATAATAACAGTTTTAACTCCAGTCTGGGCATGGCACCATATGAGGCATTGTATGGACGGAGATGTCGTACTCCTACTTGTTGGACTGAGGTAGGTGATAAAGAAAGGTTTAGTCCGCATTTTGTGCAGGAGACCACACTGCAAATTGAAATGATCAGAGAAAAACTAAAACAGGCACAGAATCGACAGAAAAGCTATTATGATAATAAGCACAGACCGCTAGAGTTTGAAGAAGGTGACCATGTATTTGTTCGGTTATCTCCGGTCACGGGTGCTGGCCGTGCTTTGGGTGTGAGGAAGTTGAGTCCTCGGTTTATTGGGCCGTATCAAATCATGAAAAGGGTGAGACTAGTGACCTATCACCTTGCCTTGCCCCCACAGTTGTCTAATCTACATGATATTTTTCATGTGTCGCAGTTGCAGCGTTATGTTCTGGATGAATCACATGTGGTGATACTGGATGATATTGAAATCCGGGAGAACATGAAAACTCCCATTGGTCCCATTGAAATACTGGATCGCAGCGAAAAGAGGCTGAGAAGTAAAATTATTCCCATGTTGAAGATTCAGTGGGAAGGCCGCACACCTGAGGAGGCTACTTGGGAACGGAAGGATGAGATTATCCGGCTGTATCCAGAGTTAGCGGACAGGTATAATTTAATTTTGCGGACAAAATTTCTAAAAGGAGGGGTGAATATAACACCTCGTATTTCTAAATGCATGATTATATGTAATAATGTTGGTTAAAGGGGTAGGATTTTCACCAAAATACGTAAAAAAAGAAAATTGGTAATTTATCAAACACGTATCCCTAGGCATGAAAAATTGAGTAGAAGGTCTCAAATGATAAAATTAATGCCGAAAATGCATTCAGGACGAAAAATCGAGTGGATAGGCAAGTTTCGGAAAATTTGATGAATAGTAATTTTTCCAGTGTAAAATACTGCGGTATAATTGTACCGATAAGCGTGAAAATATGATCATAATTTTTAGGAAGTAAAAATATGACATGAACGAGAAAAATACGTAGGTTATGAATTTGTGGGTTAAATTGGATGATTTAAGAAAGTTAAGTGACATGTGAGACCCACTTTAAGTGGCTTAAATGATTTAAAGTCACCAAAGTCAAGAAATCAGCCATTTCTCTCTCCTCTCCTTCTTGAAACCGTCGAGCTCCTTCTCCATGGAGGTGACCTTGAGCTTTTGAAATTCCATCTCCTTTTCTAGTCATATTTAGGAGAAACTTCCAACTACAAAGTTGTTCCCCACACTCTTGTGTATAACTTTTATGTAGAGTGCATCTTATGGGGAGCATTGTGAAGGGAGAAAACCCCCAAAAACACCATAAAAATACTGGCATTTGGTGAAATTTTGAGACTTTTTGTGTTGAACCATTGGTTGGTGATCATCTCCTTGGACCCTAGGTAGCTATTGGTGGTAAGATTTCTCACTCTCATTGAGTTTTCTATGAGATCATAAATTGGGTGAGGGTTTTGAAGTTGTAAGTTGAGTTATGGTAGTTGGGAGAATTAAACGGTATGTCTCCTTTGGAATTAAATGTTTAGAATGATAAATGATGATGATTGATGCAATAAAAATTATTGTGATTTGGAAAATTATAACTTAGTGAAAATTGGAGTTGATATTGATGATTTTATGAATTGGCATGATGATGGGGTTAGATAATTGAATCATGGAGCATTGGTATGAATTAATTATAGGATTAAAGAATGTGTATGAATGTTGAATTAAATTGAAAACCTTAGGGGTATGTTTCTCGAGGAACTCGAATTGTAAGAAAAAGTAAGGAAAAAATGATGTGAAAATATGGTTTAGGCAATAGTTGATGATTTAGTGTATAATCGCTAGATTGGTGAATTACTTTGATGATTCAAATAGTTAAGTTAATTGAATTAAATGGGAAAGGGCCATTAGACCTAAATGGTTATAATTAGTTAAAATTCTTGTGAAATTGATTGATTGTTTGCGAATGATTGATGGTCATTGTTGTTAATCATATAGGTTGCCTCTCACTGACGCGATAGAAGCGTACTAAGCTTGGAGCTTATGTTGTGGAGCATTGTGCTTAGAGTTGAGGTAAATCTTTGGAACTTGGGTTTAGTCCCTTGTGTACTCCACCACACCTAGTGGAAGGTTGTGGTTGGATTTTGTGTTTTTGACATTGTGTGAATATGTATGTTCATGCATTATTGCTTGATTGTGTGACATGCTTGGAGCATATTGTGTGTGAAATTCTGTGATCTCTGGCCAGTAGATGTGTGTGGTTTAGACTTTCGCTGGAGATATCCTTTGGGGATTTCGGTCGGGTTTTGCCGTAGGGCCGACTCTGGAAGCGGCACCAGGATGATCCAAACGTGGGACTTCCGCTGGATAGGGCTCAAGAGGAGTTCCAGTTGGGTTTTGCCATGGGGTCGTCTCATCCATGGGAGAGGCACCAGGAAGCTTCCCGGGAGTTATATGATGGGATCCTCGAACGGAATCCTTATGTGGATGTTCTTGGATTTGTGCCCAGTTGTTTGTGATTTTGTATGTTATGCATTTTACATGGTGTAATTGTTGCACATTGAGTGAGCCATGGGGTGGAGTGATCCTCTAGTACCCTTGGTTTACTGAGATATATTTGTATATCTCACCCCGCGTTTGGGGACATCATTTCATGATATAGTGAGAATGGAGGAGCTTCGGGCAAGAGGCACGCTTAGTGGTGGAGTTGAGCATGATGCGCATATGGATAACATGGCATTTTGGAGGAGTTTATTTGATGCATATAGTATGACATTTAGCATATTGGACTTAGATCATGAACATATTGCATGTTGAGATTTCCATGTTTTTTTGGTGTTCATGACTAAATTCTAAGTCTATGTAGTGGATGTATATTTATGCCTCTTGTTTATAATATATTTTGGGTGAGCATGAGACTTGTCCATGGCCACATATTTTGTATTTTGAGGCATTGTAGGACTTGTGTTGTGAATAGACCATTTGATGTTTAAAATGGCTATGGTATTGGGAACCATTGTAATGGTCATATTGGATAATGAATATGCATGATGGAAGGGCTCAGAGCCTACATTAGATCTAGTGTAAGTGGTAACATGAGTAGTGAAGTGTTAGGGGTAGATTACATCACCCATTTGTGTGTTAAATGCTGTCATATGTCATTTTTACAGTAGAGTAATCGATTACCTAACTTTGGTAATCGATTACCAGAAACAGTGGACGCAAAATTGAGCCACTGTGTTCAAAGTAATCGATTACCTTGACATATGTAATCGATTACCTAGTTCAGTAATCGATTACCCATGTCCAAGTAATCGATTACCCAAAACAGGGGAGCCCAAATTTGGCTACTGTATCGTTCTAGAGCCTTTGGTAATCCATTACCACTGTGTAAAATTTTGAAAATGTGTTTTATGAAATCTAAAATCAATGGTATTGCTTAGAGAAATGATAATTAATATGTTTTATTCTTCCGCTAGTTTTGCATTTACAATTACGGCGTTGTTTTAATTGGTTACGAAAATGGTAATTGTTAAACAATGAGGAATTAATAAAACAAAAAGTTTACCCGTAATTTAATTAACTCAATTACTGTGATTGTAACTGCGCTTAATACCTTATGCAATGATAATATTTTCGGTACGTAACGGGCTGTTATAGGCCCCACGGCAAAACTCGACCGGAATCCCCAAAGGATATCTCCAACGGAAGTCCAAACCACACACATCTACTGGCCAGAGATCACAGACATGTCACACAAATCAAGTAACAATGCATGATCATACAATTTCACACAATGTCAAAAGCACACAATATCCAACCACAACCTTCCACTAGGTGTGGTGGAGCACACAAGGGAATAAACCCAAGTTCCAATGGTTTACCTCAACTCTAAGAGTAATGCTCCTCATGTATGCTCCAAGCTTAGTCCGTTTCTATCGTGTCCGTGAGAGGCAACCTATATGATCAAATAATAATGATCAACAATCAATTGCAAACCATCAATCAATTTCACAAAAATTATAACCAATTATAGCCACTTAGGCCTATTGGCCCTCTCACAATTAATTCAACTACCTCAACCACTTGAATCATCAAACTAATTTACCAACCCATCAATTATACACTAAGTCACCAACCATTGCCTAACCATATTTTCACATCATTTTTTCTCCAACCACACTATGGTTCGAAGTCCTTAAGGAAGCACCCTACAAGGTTCCCAATCCAATTCACACTTATACACACCATATAATCATACAAATAATTCATACCAACAACCAACCATTAATTCTCAACCATCACATTTATGATTTTCAAGACAACATTGTTAGTATATGGATGTCCTATAGACAATCTTTTAATTAGATTAGGACATATGTGGACCTTTGTATTGTCGCAAATAAATAAAAGAACTATTTATCCTGTTTCATATTTTGTCTCAAAATTACTGTTAATATTTTATATGAGTAACAGGATAAACCCCTTGGAATAAAATAGGTATCTCTTGAGTATCTGTGATGAGATCATGATCATGAGGATTCAAGGATACTGGACATTTATTCCTAATTTTATGTTCCTAGTCTAGAGACACTGCGAATGGGGATCATTGATCTCAGGTAAGACTAGCACGACTTATCTACTTGTATTCGGATGCAAGGTAAAGACCTCATGAGCTACAGATATGGAGATATCTTAGCTAAAGTCGTGGGTGGATTTATAAAGGTATAGCTCGCACTGAACAGACCGACAAAAGAGACTCTATGAGGAAATCTCACATAGAGTATCATTAGAGTAGTCTCTTTATATTTGGGTATGTCTTTCCTTAGACCAGAAGTTATTACCTAGACTGTGTTCTAGAAGGCATGCTTTGGCTGTATACCTCGTCTGCCTGAAACATGGAGACTTATAGGTATACTATTGGGCTTGTCCTGAAAGAGCACAGGGCTAGGGTGGTAAGCTGAAGGAATTCGTCAAATCTCTGTGAGAGATTAGGTTATCTGTAAATCGGAGAAATCAGGATGACATTTATAGGGACTCGGGAATCTATGCATAGTAAAAGAGATCATGAGATTATCTGCCTTTAGAGTCAGTAAATTGAAGATTCCCTATTTTGAATAAAGCTTACCCTAAACCGCAAGGGGTGATACGCTTGCTTACCCTAGGTTTTATGGGAAGGTAACCGAGACGAAAAGAAATACATACGGCAACCAAATATGTGTAATAGGATGATCAAGTCATTAATCTAGCTAGCTCTGGGGCAACAAAGCATTGCTAGTGCTCTGTGTTGTCATTAAATGGGTTGTGGGCTTGTGTGGCCCGAGCCCATTTATGTCAGTGGCTATGTTGGACCTAATGGGTCACACACTAACACCTTAATGTCATGATGATATAACATTAAAGGTATTGGGCCTAATAATGGTTGTTAGCCCAAGATGAAGTTTGGAAGCCCACCTAAGAGGGAGAGGGCGCATGGTATTGTTAATGGGCTTGGATGGTCCAAGATATTACTAATTAATTTAATTAGTTAAATTAATTATCAAATATTTAAATTTTGAATTTGAAATTTCAAATTTGAAATTTGAATTTTGAATTTTGAAATTTGAATTTGAATTTGAAATTTAAA